GTCAGCCCCTAATCACCACCCTGCCCTGTCCAACACCAGGACACAGCTAGACATCCTGACCCTGTGGCCTGAAGTGATGGATCAGCACATTGTGGGTGCTCACAGCTATGGTTACAAAGAAGACGTAATAGATAGCATCTTGTTTGTTCCTTCCAGATGGGACAGGTCTGAGAAATGGTCCCTTGGAGGGTGTTGCTGTTGTGTGGACCTCAAAGTGTGACTGCACACACGTTGGCAGCACAGCACACCACACCAAGGGCACTGAAGCTAAGTGACCTCTGACTATAGAACGGAGGAGTGTAATTCAGCTGTGACCAGAGACTCCTGTCACTCCAATATGCAGGGAGCTGGAGGACATGGTGCAAAGTTAGTTGAGTCAAGGGAAGACCATGCCATTCAAGCTCACTTACACGTGGAATTTACAAAAGCCAAATTCATAAAAACATAGGAAAATGTTGTTGCTAGGGGTGAGGTTGGGGGGATAGGCGAGAGGAGAGCACAAATGTGCAAGTAGCCAACAATAAGTTCTGGAAGCGGATGGGCATGTGCACGCAGTCATTGGGCCAGGCTAGGTGGCTAATTGGTCACTGGCCCTAAGAGAACAAAAGAGCCGAGGAAAACAAGTCATCTGAACTTTTCCTCTGAGATGTGCTTTCACAGACACAGCAGAGCCTGGAGGTTACTGACTAAACTTGAGCTGAGCCCCAAGGCTGGCTGGAGCCAGGAGACTGCAGAAACAGAGGAGGGGGAGACCTCGATGTGAGGAACCCATAAGAGGAATGTAAAACCCCAGTTACCTGATGAAAGGCTCTTCAGGTTTTTTTTGCATCTGAACTTCCTTGGAACTAGTCAAATAGACTTGAAACAAATCCACTTTTTTTTGGTCTTCAGTTTCCTCCTTAACTAATGAAATTTATCTTCTCTGATCTTAGCCCTGTTCCCCAAAACCTATATAATTTCATTTGCCTTTATAAGTGGGAGGCAGATTTGAGTTTATCTCCTACCTCTTTGCCAATTGATTCACAATAAAAGTGATTTCTCTGTGAAATATCTGATGTCATCACCTGATCTGGACAGAACCCCCCTCGTGGTGGGGCCCAATTGCTCGGTCACCAGAACTGCACTGTCATCATCCTTGCACTGTTCAAACTGAATTTCCCTTGGTGCTCTGGCAATACATCCAACTTTTCCTATCGGATTAGACCCCACCTAGCCCTTCCCTTGGAAGAAATGGAGAGTGTGTGACAAGATAGAGATGGGAGCTGGAGTCCAGAGCGACATGCTACAATAGATATAGGCATCAAATATGCCTCTCTGCAGCTTATATTTACATAACATTCCATGGCAAATTTGTTTCCTTAAAAAACAAAAAAATACCTTGTTGAAAAAATAAACACAGATGAAAAGGCCCAGCTCTCCCACAGCCCTGTAGCTGAGTTCGCAGGTTCCCTGCCGGTGTACAGGGGGAGCTCTGCCTCGCCTCCTCTCCCAGCGCCACTGGGCTTTCCTGTTGGTCTCAGCTCGAGTTGGCAGGACTCCTGTCACTCCCGGTACAGACAAGGCCATCTGGTTTCTAAAAGCCAGGCCAGGAGAAGTGGAGCTGAGTTCAGGGTGAAAGTTCCACATTCTTCCTTGTCTGGAGCTGCCACAAGAGAAGAAATGCAGCAAACAAACCTTTCCTGCCAGGTGCCCCATGGCTCCTTCCAGCTCCTCCTCCCTCTTCCAGCACCGAGGCAGGGTTGTTTCCAAGGGAAGAGCTAAGTGGGCTCTAATCCGATCCGAAAAGTTGGATGTATTGCCAGAACACCAAGGGAAATTCAGGGCAACAGGGGAAAAGCTAGTGGACCACAGGCAGGCTGTGCTTTCTCCTCCCCGCCCTCCACTGTAGGTTCCTGGCCACCACTTCCCCAATCACCACCCTGTGGCCTCTGGAGAGCTGACTTGCAGTTATGGGCCATGTTTAACACACTTCATAGTCCATCTTCCAAGTAGGCTTCTGAAGTAGCCACGGTTTACTCTATGAAGAAAGCCATGCCAAGCCTGAAACCCAAAGGAGTTAAAGAGCCTGTCCTAGGTCATATGCTAGAGAAGCTTGAAGCCCGGTAGTCTGATGCCACTACCGACCCACCTAAACTGGGTCAGATTGCTGAGCTCAGAGCCAGACTCAGAACCAGGTATTGTTTCAGTAAGGAAGGTTGTATTTGTGAGTGGCTCCAGGTCAGGAGGACAACAGTTAGTGCTTGGAAAAGGCCAGCTCCGAGTGGCCAGTGGCAAGTGATGGAAGGTTATACAGTAAAGAAAGGAATGTGGGGACATACAGGTGGGGAGTCTCCTTCCAGTTTTGGAGGTGGAGATAGTCCATCACAAGATCCTTGGTGATATTTCTGGAATGTTGTTCTTTCCTGCATTGTCAATTTAAAATGGCCTGAGAATGCTCTTTGGGCCTGATGTTTTTGGCATCCTCTGCAGAAACAGAAAGTTCTCTTTAAGTATTAAGCAACCCACCACCATGCCCTTGCAGTGTGGCTCTAAGCAGATCTCAGGTGTTGCTCTTAGTTTAAGCAGAGAACCCATTTCTATTTTGCAGGCGGCTTTCTGGTGCCCTTGGGGTGTCGCCATGTGGCCCCTGGTGGACAAAGCTGGGCAGACTCCATGGGAGCGCCATTCCCTCCGTCCATGTGATGAAATAAATTCAATTGTACTGGCAAGGGGCAGCCACCCCAGCCTTGGCCTACGCTGTCCCAGGAGCTCAAATACAGAGAGGATGAGCTGGTGGGCAGGGTCCTGATCTCCTGGCTTGGAGTGTGTCTGATCTCTGGGTCCCAACACTGGAGCCAGGCATACCCGTCAAGTGTGATCCCACTCATGGTCAGTGGCAAGGGTAGGGCCTGAGAGGAAATGGTGAAGAGAAGTACCAGTGGATCCTGGTCTCACCTCCTGGCCGCGACTGGCCCTGAGATTCGGTTAGCTCATCTAGAAAACCGAGGTAGCAATAGTAGTTTCTACATGGCTGACTGTGTTAGCTGAGAACATGACATAGAAAATGAAATGAAGTGATGGCACTGGGCTCCCCATACAGGGCAGCATGCTGAGAGGAGGCAGAGAAGAGGCTGACTGCACCCATTTTCAGGCCCCACAGAACGGGACTCAGAGCACAGGTGGAACCAGGATCTTGGGTCGGGGGTGTGGCAGGAATTCTCATTTACTGAAAAAAAAAAAAAAAATGGACAAATTCTGTCTGGTTTTGGATGAAAAAAAAGGTGATAAGAGACTAAGTTCATAAATCATTTACTTACATGCCATTTCCTTTTCCTCTCTAAAGACTCAAGATTCACAAATCATCATTCCTAACAGAAAGCTGCTTCCCCAGTCCCAGACCCATGGGCTTGGTAGCAATAAAGATAAACAGGTAAACATTTATGCCCCCTCCCAACACACACACACAAAGTGTTATATCACCACTTACTACCTCTGCAGTGATTCTAAATATTTCCCCTAGGAAGCAAGACAAAAACAAGACCAAGAATGTAAAATGGGGTCATTTTTTAAATGAAGCAAGGGATCCAGGTGGAGACACACGGGCCTGCCCTTCAAGAGTACTTTCTGGGGATTTTTCTGACTGCTTTGGACCAAGTTTGTTTAGAGCCTTGTCAACAGGTTATGCAAGAGGAATCACCTGAGAAACGCCTTAAAAAACAGCAAAGCCAGTCTGGCAGTGCTGAATTCTGATCCTAATTTGTGTTTACACAAGGAAGCTTGGGGGTGGAGAGGGTTAGGTGGGGAGGCACAGAGCTCCCTAGAGCCCTGAGTGCGGAGATCCAGTCCTTGTTGTCACCTCCTGCCCCTCCAGCCTCACCCCTGTGTGGCTCCTGCACCCACCAGGCTCCGGCAATGAGCCTTCTAGAAGAGCTTAAGCTACCTCCTTGCTCCTTTGCTATAATACTCAGTGGAATGGTTTGGCTCCCAAACAACCTTCTCTAGAAAAAAGTAACCCAGGTCTTATTAATTTTTCTTATATTTCCCTAGGGATGATGAAGGGAGTTTGCAAAGTTTTACTTATGAGCCATCTGGGGTTCTTGCCAGAACACCACACTGGGGCCTCTCTAAAATCAACCTTTATGAGGACTCCTTTTCTTTTCACTTGGTGCATAATTTAGAACATTAAATCAGGTCACCTGGATATCTGAAAGTCTTCAAAACATCCTTGAGTTAAATTAGGGTTACCTGTTACCTGCAGTCAGGGTTTGGGGTGGGGTGACAGGAGGTCTCCTGATCCCAAGACTGTTTTTGCTGAGGGATACTAGGCTTGGAGGACAGTGGTGGTACAGGAGGGGGTCCCATAGCTGGGTGCATACTGGGCAGGGTGTCTCTACCTGCTACACAGCAGAGGTGACTCCAAGGTCACCCACCCCACCCCCATCTCACAGCAAGCTGACAAGTGCAGCGTTCACCTTCTTTTTGTCCACCAAGATCTCACCTACCACTTCCCTAGGCTCATTGGGCTTGTCCTACATGCTTGTGTGGGGGCTTGGTCACTTCAATCACCTCAACCTGCTGGCCACACTACAGGTTCCTAGCTTTGAGCCCCCTGGCAGATGCACCCTGCAGCAGGCTCCAGGGCTCAGCTGGGTCAGAGAGACAGTTACTTGAGCATCTTCTAGACTGCTGATGGGAAATACAGCTTCCTGGCCCCAGGCTAGACTCCTTAAATCCAAACAGAAGGTTGTAGAAACATTCATTTCTAATAAACACATGAGCTAAGGGTCCTGCATACTGAAGCCAGTTTTGCTGGGCTTCATAGAATTGCCCTGCTTTGAACACTCCAGCAGGATTCCGGGCAAGCAAGGGCCTCTCCCCATGGGCCTCAGTAGCACTGAGCCCCTCCCAGCGCCCAGGGAGGACCCTTCTAGCCCTCATCTGCTTAGTTTCTGAGTCTATGGAATCTCCCTTAGGCAAGATGAGAAAGTAAGGAGGAGAAAAACTTCACACATGGAGTCCTTCAAGAAACTGGGAATTTTATTTATTTAGAGCAAGAAAAGTTGCCCAAAGTGGGTAAAATACATAAAGAGAAATCTCTACAGTCAATTCGCAGTCAGGTATGAAAGAGAAAAAAGGCAAGAGGCCACCTGAGAAGTGGGTGGGAGGGCTCAGTGGCAGCGACAGGAAAAGCTCAAAGCTCATCTTCCTTAAATATGACTCTGGCTCCTAGACACTGGCTCCTGCAGCTGACGACTTTGGAAATTTCTGGGTAAGACTTCAGGAATTTCAGAGCCATATAGGCTTGCTTTTACAGTGTGTCCAATTTGGGGAGCAGGGTGGGAAGGTCTCTCATGAACAGGCCCAGCTGCTCCCAGGCCACACAGCCTTGTCGCCCCCAGGACACCTGGTGGGCTCCCTCAACACCTTTCCCTCTCCCCACTCCAAACCCACCGGCTTCCCTTCCTGTGACAAGCCAGGACTGGGCCAGGACTGAGCTCTTCTCAGTTACAATGCTTTGCTTTTGCCTCCACTTCCTGCTCTCCTTTGCCCTGGCTCCCAGTGTGGTCAGGAAACTCTAACTATGGGGTTAGCCTGGAAATATGCCATGTGAAGCAGCTAAAACAAGACCATTTGTTTTCTCTTCTCCTCACAAATATTAATGCAGGCATTGGGTCCAACTTCATCTTTGACATGAATCTCTGAACATGGAGCTGAGTGTAGCTTCACGGCCACTTCCCTTTTCTGTCCATCTGTCTGTCTGTCTCTCCCTTTCTCCACTTTCCAATACCACCCAGTTGGCTTTGACCAATCAACCATGAGGGCTGAAGCCCTCTTGTAAGACATGGGAAACTGCCATTAGTAATGTAGACTGACCAGCTTCTAGATATTTTAGAAATAGAACAATGGTCCCTATGAATCTCTGACTTTCTTTGATTCTCATTTCTCACTCTGATGGTTCAAATGGGCACCGATGGTTATCCCTGGGGGGTGCCAGGCTGGGATGCCTGCCCACGCTAACTTTCCCTCCAGGTGAGGTGAGTCAAACAGAAAGCAAAGTGCTGCCCAGGCAGTCTAACTGAGCTCCCAGGCCTCGTGGCTCTGGGAAGCAGGCCTGGCACCTCTCCCGCCCAGCTCCAGCTCCCGGGTGCTGCCCAGACCACCCAGGGACTTCCCAACACTGATCAAGCCAATTGGATTCTGACGTCCACTGTCTGGTCCAACATCCCCACTCCGTTCGCACCTGTGAATTCCATACAGGTTCCTTCTCTAAACCACATCCTCTGCTTTCCAGGTGGATCCTCTCCCTCTTGGACACAAAGCCACCTTCTCAACCTGGCTCAAAGGAGGAGGGGCCGAACATGGGGTCCCATGGGTCTCCCTCCTCACAAGAGCCCTCAGGAGTCTTGTCAGCAGCCTCTATCTCTCCTGACCAAGAGGGGTGAGAATGGCACGTTTTTATACTTTTAGCTACTTCAAAAACAGCCCAACACAGCAGCAGTTTTCAAAGCCTCTAGGCTTCAGAGATTTGCCTTCCATCTTCTCCAGCCTGGGGACCTGGGGTGGAGGGGTCAATGAGGTGGCACGACTTCAGAAAGATAAGCTCCTCTGCTGCCCCCAGAATGACTCCAGCTGCCCAGGGCTGGGCTGCCCTGTCCACTGCCACCTTCCAAGGAGACAGGTGCTCATCCATCCAACATTTCCCCATGGCGCTGCCCACCCAGAGGCCGGTGTCATCAGTATGAGTTCCCTTGCCAGCCCCCCCACTATAGTTTCTGTGAAGGCTCAGGTTTCAGCGAACAACCTCTTAACTACAACCCTGATAGGGGCCAAATTCCCTGCAGGATCGTCCATGGGAGCCAGCAGGTGCCACAGTGATGAGATGTGAGAGCTCAGCAGATACGCAGGGCTACTGCAGTGACAGCATTCATTCTCTTCAACAAAGGCTTTTTTTTTTTTCCTGGTAGGTTCAAGTCTGAAAGTTTCTTCCCAGAGCTGGGGCTTCCATCCACATTGGTAGCAGGGGCCCCAGTAGTATTTCCTAGCGGACAAAAGACACCACGCTGGTGGCCACTCCAAAGGGGGCAGAGTAGGCGGCGGCAAAGCCCTGCAGGCCAATGACCACGTAGCGGCAGCCCTTGGTGATGACCTTGCCCACGTTCTATTTGTGGGGATAAAAGGAAAAAGCAAAGGGTTAGGGTTAGGACAGACAATGTTGTGTAACAGGCAGATATACAAGGAATCCTTTTCCTTGTTCTCCCAGGGCAAATTAGCAAGTCACCTACTGCCAATATAAGGACATGTGGGCACCGTGGAAACAGACACACACCTCCTAAAGTGCTTTCAAGCACATCTTTCCAGATAGCTCAAGAGATCTTGGAAACAGCTGTGAGCTGTTCTAAAACCAAAAAGCCTGCCCCTTTCCTCTGTTCCAGCGAGGTTACTGGACGGCCTCTGAAGGTGGCAATGGGTTTCCTTCTCCACCATTGGACAGCCGGCCCAGTCCGCTCTCATTTCCAGAACCAATTTATTGTCGAGCCCATGTACTGCTGAGGATCTCCTGGTGTCTGACTGCTGCATCCCTAAGTTCTGTATTTCACCCAGGATGAAACACCCAGATGGTCAGCCCTGGTCGTGCTTCCTGGCTGGACTCTCTGACTCTCCCTCTCTGTAAGCCAGAGGCATTCAAGGGACTTCAGGGGAATCACAACGAAAAAATGAGCACCATTACCAAGGACTGATGTCGATCCTGCTGCTGCACCCAGACTTCCTCTCCGACCCCCGACTTCTGTCATCACTCCAGATGACCTCAACATCCTGGTGGATGACCTGACCTCCTTACAAACTTGCCCCTCAGCTGTGATGTTTCCAGTACCAGTAACCGGAGCACTGGTTCCCTAAAGGTCCCTCTCCATGACCACAACTGCATGTTGACTTCCCACTCTCTCTGGAAAAGCCATTCTGTCTCAGGCTGACTGTGGGCTATTCCTGACCTTGCCCTTTCTCCCCAGGCCTCCCTGCCACCAGCACACACAAAGGACACCCTGCACAGTCTCCATGCTCTCCTGGGATCTCTTCTGTGAAAGATAAGGCGCACCCATCTCAGGGGAGCATGGAGTCAATATTATTCCAGGACCTGCTTTAGTTAAATGTTCTTTCTCTGAAAGTCGAAGTTTCAAGAATCCGTGGATGATGTTAGGTGGGACCTTACTGGACAGCCCTTCTTTAAAAAAGGAAGGGTGTAACCTGGCTGTCAACAGCTCGTGAACGAGCTTGAGTTCCAGTGCATCACTTCCCTAACTTTGCCTGGCCTCAGTTTCCTCACTTATGAAGCAGGTACTTTGAGTAACGACCTCACTGGGTTGGGAAGTGGACTTTGGCTTTCTCTAGCCCTCAGGATAATGCAATGAGGTGGGGACTCTGTAGTGCCCATTACTAGATTCTTAGCACCCAGAAAGGGGGTGGTTGCTTCCTTTGGTCCTTTGCAAGCTCAATGAGGAACTCTGGGGGCAAAAGTCAGTTTACACCTTCATTGCAGGGATTCCCAGACAGCATCCCATCGATTTTTGAATGAGGCCTTAGCATGCACTCAAGAGTGTGTTGGGGCAGGGATGGAGATGATATTGCTAAGAGACACATCTCTGTAAGTGTGTGCTATGACTCTTGGGAAGGATTTGACTTGCCTCTTTGAAATAACAAAAAAGACATTGTTCCTGAGTTGCAGGTGTGATTGTGTGGGGTACACTTTACAAGCAACACCACCATGATAGTGGATGGCTTGCATTAAACTTGACATTTTTTGGCATGTGCAATCCACTTTCTTTTCTTTTTTAAAAATTTGTTTACTTATACATACAGAATTGGGCACAAACCAGAGGTGTGGAGGTGTGAGTATTCACTAAAAAAAAAAAAAAAAACAGAGTGAGAAGCAGAACAGGCAGAGGCAGATGTACTGAAATATACACTGCTGAGGGGAGCAGCAGGCAGGTCAGGTCAGGTCTGCCACGCCATGTGGGTGTCACCCCCACACACACCCACCCCCAGGGCTGGGGATCAAACTCATGCTGCAGTGGCTGTGACAACTTCATAGTGCTTTGCTTTAACCCACTGTGCCACCAGGGAGGGCCCTACATTTTCTTTAGTCTGATATTTAGAATAATAAAGAAAAAAAAACCTCCTTGTCAAACTTCAGCTTTGCAGTTTCGGGGAAAAGTTACTAAAATAGCTCACTAACTGGGGCATTGTCAAAACACAGATTTGAGAAAAGGGATGCAAAGCAATGTAAGCTACTCACCCCGCAGTCATTTGGGGGAGCAGACTTTAGGTGCTTTGATCTAAGTAGAGTTTTCTTTTTTAAAAGAAAAGCCAAAATAAATTTCTAATAAAATTAGACTAGCATGTATATGCTTGGACATAAACACACAAGAAGACCAAAAATAGTCTCCCTCAAGGGGAGTAGGAAAGGTCTGCTGTGCCATGTGGGTCACCTCCAGGGTCAGGGATCCAACTCACATTGAAGTGGCTGCAGCCGACTTTGCAGTGCTGTGCTCCAATCTGCTGTGCCACCAGGGAGGGCCGCAGGAACCTGGTTTTATGGCACTCAGGGCTGTTTCACCCCATGCATGCTCACTTTGTGCCTCTGTATCACACGTAGTCAAGGTGTGTCCACTGCTTTTTAGGCATAATGCTATGCACTATGCACAGATTACAACACATTGTAAACATCACTTTCATGGGCACTAAGGGGCCAAAACAGGAAAGTGACTCACTTTACTGCAACACTCACTTTATTGTACTGGAACCCACAATATCTCCCACATTTGCCTGTACAAGATCCATATAAGGAGGGGAGTAGGAGGAGCATAGGGAGAGAGTGTGAGGCCAGAAGCAGAGAGCACAGGGAAAGAGGTTCACAGAAGCCATACAACTAGCTGTGAGAACAGAGGAGGGGATTCTGGGATCTGGAAAAGCAAAAAAAGGGTTCTCCCCTGGAGATTCCAGAAGGAATGAGCCCTGCTATCCTGTAAATTTTTTTTTTTTTTTTACGATTTATTTATTTGTGCATACAGAACTGGGGTACAGGCCAGAGGCTCAGGGGCTGTGAGAGGCTTCACCAGAGACAGAGTGGGGAACAGAACAGGCAGATCTACGAAGTACACTGCTGAGGGGAGCAGTGGGCAGGCCAGGAGAGGTCTGCCGCGCCATGCCCTCCAGGGCAGGCGGGAATCAAACTCATGCGGAAGCAGCTTTAGATTCTCAGTGCTGTGCTTTAACCCGCTGCGCCAACAGGGAGGGCCAAATTTGTATTTTTTTTTAAAGAAAATTTTTTAAAGATTTATTTATTTATTCTTACAGAACTGGGGTACAGGCCAGAAGTGCAGGGGCAGTGAGAAGATTCACCAGAGACAGAGTGAGGAGCAGAACAGGCAGATTGACAAAGTGCACTGCTGAGGGGAGCAGGGGGAGGGGGTGTCAGGAGAGGTCTGCCATGCCATGTGGATCAGCTTTCTGGCCAAGGATAAAACTAATGCTGCAGTAGCTTCGGGGAGCTTCCTAATGCGGTGCTTCAACCTATTGCACCACCAGGAAGAGTCCAATTTGCATTGTTTTAAACCAGGACGTTGGGTGTCATCTGTTCCAGTGGTCACAGGAAACTGCCAGAGGGAGGGTTTCTCAGTGAAGGCAGGGATCACCTGACCCTCCAGTTCCAAAAAAGAAGCCAGCATTGTTGAACAGAGAAAGCTTCTCCCTCAGTCAAGCCTTTGATTGTTAAAGGTGTCAGGACCTGGTTGCAAAGCTGGGGGTCTGGGTCAGTGTCCATTGGAATGAATGAGAAAAGGGCCAGTGGCTGGGGGTCCTTCTCCCCTTCAATAAGAGCTAGTAGTGACAGACCCCACATCATCTCTAGACAGAGTGACTCTGCTACTCCTCACCACAACCCTGGTGTTCGCCCATTAACAGAGGAAGAGACTGAGGCAGAATGGCCAGCACAGCCCAAGATCACACATCCAGTGGCTGGTGGTTCCTGTGCTGTGTCCTTACCCTCCCCCTCATTTCCCTTAACTGCCCAGAACTTAGGAACATTCCCTCCCTCATGAGTTAAAAACAACCCTACACTCTACCTGTCTGTCCACCCCTCTTCTGGCTGTCAGGTTAACAGCTTTTCCTTATCAGAATCTCAGTGAGTGGCTCTCAGGGGGCCGGGACAGGGCGCCTCTTTTCATCAGCTCAGTTTTGGCAAGAGTTCCCTCCAGCAATACACAGGCCTGGGTCAGATCTCTGCTGCCTCCCAGCTTTGCTGCTTTGTGTTAGCTTATGTTAGCTTAATTTCCTTAATCTCCCCTGTTCTTCCCTACAAAAAGGGGACCCAGCACTTCCCAAGGTTTTTGGGAGATAGAGCACATGAAATGGGCAGCAGAGCACCCTAGTCGGGGGAGAGCAAACCTATGTCCCTTCCCTAACTTGCACCCAGAACAGTCATGCACCTTACAGACACTGGCATCATGACTTAAAAACCAGCCAGGACACAAAATAAACTTGTATTATTAAAAAAAAAAAAAAAATCAGCCAGGACCCAAGTGCCCAAGGAAAGCGTGTGGATTAAGAAGCACGGTATGGCACATGATGGACTACAACTTGACTGTAAAAAAAAAGATGAACTCTTGGGCCCTCCATGGTGGCGCAAGGGGTTAAAGCACAGCTCTATGAAGCTATCATAGCCACTACAGCACAAGTTCAATTCCTGGCCAGGGAGGTGTCCCACATGGTGTGACAGACTTCTGATGCATCCCCTGCTCTCCTCAGCAGTGTATTTCAGTACATCTTCCTGTTCTGCTCCCTACTCTGACTCTGGTGGATCATCTCACCCACCCCACCCCTGCACACCTCTGGTCTGTACCCTAGTTCTGTGTGCATAAATAGATAAATCCTTAAAAAAAAAAAAGATGAACTCTTGCCATTTGCAATGACATGGATGGAACTGGAAAGGGTGATGTTAAGTGAAATAAGTCAGAGGGAGAAAGACAAATATTGGGTGGTGTCACTCATGTGGAGAACACAGATGCAGAACAAAGAGACAGAACCAAAACCAAACACCTGAATCTGACTGTAAAACTGAGGTTCCCAGAGGAGAAACAGGAAGGTGGTGAGCAGGAAAGAGGGAGTCCAAAGGACTGTGGTGGACATGGTGTGCTAAGACTCATCTGAGGAGGTGAGACCCTATGTTTCTGACTCATATTCAATGTTGTAAAACAATGTTACCTTAATGAAAAAAATTAGTTAAAAAACAAGTAACGGGGGGCCCTCCCTGGTGGCTCAGTGGGTTAAAGCACAGCATGAAGAAGCTAAAGCTACTTCCACATGAGTTGAATCTCCGCCAGCCCAGAGGTGACCACATGGCGCGGCAGACCGCTCCTTACATGGTCCGCTGCTCCCCTCAGCAGTGTACTTTGTCCATCTGCCTGTTCTGCTCCCCACTCTGTCTCTGGTGAATCTTCTCACTGCCCCTGCACCTCTGGCCTGTACCCCAGGTCTGTACGCATAAATAAATAAATCTTTAAAAAAACAAATAACTGGGAACCAGTTGTCCCAGGCACCCAGTCTTCTGAGTGCAAAGCTGGAGCCACTCAGTATGGGGGTGGCCATGGTTGGAGCCACGGGGTCCCTGGAACAGCAGGGCACAGTGAGTAGAACTTTGCACATTTCACAAATGCCAAGGCCTCCTTGAACAGCCATGTACCAGTCACCTGGTAAGGCGATGCATTCTGAGGACTGTGTCATAGGTGATCTGGGGGCCCCACACATACTAGATAGACTGGGGTGCAGCTTAATGGGAGCCTGTGCCATGCGGCCCACTGTTGACTTAAACCATCTAATCCACCACAAATGGAAGCAAGAGGGACTTAGACCGAGGACAAGGGAGATTAACAGATGAATAGGGTCTATAATCACCCTTTCTGGAAAGAAAAGGCATCGGTTAATAATCTGCAGCTGTTTATAGGTCACTGCCTCTGTTACCCCAGCCCCAGTCAGATCAAATTTCACCTGAAAACCCAAGCAGGTAAAATCACCTTTCAAGTCTAGCCCAGCGGGGCTGTTCTCAGGGATCCTAGGGATGGCCTGGAGGCAGCCCTTTGCAGTTGCCTCCAAGAAGGTGGAAGGGGAAGCTGTCCTCCTGAAAGGCAGAAAGTGGGACAGTATCCTCTCTCTGGCCTGCAGGGACTAGGTGAAATCGAATAGCTGGGCAGTCCCCATCTCTGCTTACCCTACCCCTCCACTGTGGATAACTCCCTTTTCTGTCTGGTGAAATTCTTCTTATACAAATTGTTGAGTGTGACCAGATGTAGGCAGTAACACAACAGACCAGAACTGGGCCTCGCATCCAGGTGCACAGCAACACGTCAGCTTTCTAGAATCTGAACCTAAAACCTATATAAGAGACACTCTTATAGCACTCTTAGTAGCTGCAGACCCCACCCTTGGGATCTCCGTTTCAGCTGCTGCCCGGTAGCAATAAACTCTACTTGTTCAGCCTTTCTGCCTCCTGTCATGCTTCCTTGCAGCCAGTCACAGAAATCAGGAAAAACACAAATCACGATGAAATTCACACATCAAAACCATTTTCAAGTGTATGGTTCAGCGCCATCAGTTCTTCCTCCTCTCCCATGGCCTCCCCCAGTCTCCTGGCAACCACCAGTCTGCATTCTGTTGCTCAGGACTTTTTCTCTGAATAGTTTACATACATGGAATTATACCTAGAGTATGTAACCTTGGGTGTCTGGTTTCCTTCACTTGGCATGTGGTAGAGGTTTATCCATGATGCCATGGTATCAGGCTGTCCTTGCGTTTTAGGCCAGTTCCATTGTCTGAATGGAGCCCATTTCATTTATTGATAGATGGACATTAGGGTTAGTTAGGATTATTTCTACCTTTTGGCTATTGTGAATATACTGCTAAGGATATACTCTGTGTGTGTGAGTGTGAGAGAGAGAGAGAGAGAGAGTGTGTGTGTATGTGTGTGTGTGAGAGAGAGAGAGAGAAGAAACAGTCAGTTGTTGGGTGCGAGGTGGTACCTCACCATCACCTGTGAAATCTGAACTCACCCTTGTGCCAGTCTCCCACACTGATGTGAAAATTTCCCTGACTTTCCAACTTTCCACCCTGACTCTGGAGGATAACTACCCAGACACTGAACTCCGAGGTGCCATGGGGTTCCCCTGCTAGAATCTCCCTGAAGGGTGATGCCCTTCTGCAGGGCAGGGCTGCATCTGGCGCATCTTCGGAGCTCAAGTGCTTGGCATAGCTGTGAACACCCACAAAGCATTCACAAGGACTGGGGCTCTACATTGTTAGTCACCAGCAGAGAGGTAAGTGCTGGCTTCTTGGGGCTCAGCTGAGACCAAAAGGGAGAGTTAGTTCAGTCTGACTAAGCCTGAGACTTCAGCTTACCCCTGTTACCCCTCCCTGCTGGGATCCCAACCAGAGCTGCTGACCTGACTTTCAAGAACATGATAAAACCGTTCAAGCTTCTGGGCTGGAGAGTGGATTGTTTCAGGTATGATAAAAGGTCCAAGGAGGGCACAGATATCTGGACAGTAAGTCAGATGGACCAGTGGCCTTTGCCTAGAGCACTCAGAATGTGTTGCCTTTCGGCCTTGTTCCGCCCCCTCCCCAATGCTCCCACACCCCCACCTGAATGGAAGCACCATCTGGAGTTTACTGTCAGAGGCATCTGCAAACTGCCTTTGGGATCTGATTTCTGAGGAGAAAACTGACATTTCCCCCCAATATTCCATTTTCTCTCTTCTCTTTCTCCCTCCAGCACCCCCCCTCTAATCCCCTATCTCCTCTTCAGGCAGATGGTCAATGTTGGGAGTGACCAAGATTTACTGACAAGGACTGAATTAGGGTGGTAATGAATTGAGCCTTGCATCCAAGCTTTATAAGGTGGTAATAAACTGACCTTGCACCCGGGATGGAACTAGCTGAAGGTGATAAGAACTGGGCCTCACATCAAGGGACACAGCAATGAGTCACCCCTTTGGAATCTGAACTTAGAATCTATAGAGACCCTTCCCCCCTATAGGGATGGCAGTAGCTGCGGACCCCACTCTAGGGACTCTGTCTCAGCTGCTGCTCAGGAGCAATAAATTCTGCTTGCTCAACCTTCCTGCCTCCCTTCTTTCTTGCTGCCGGTCACAGAAGCCACCGGGACAAAACAGTCCTTAGCTCACAGGTTCCTAAGCACACAGAGCAGGCTGAGAGGGAAGAGCAGATTCCACAAGTGCTTATCTTTGTATCTGCTGAGTTCCTGGGCTCTGGGGACAACCTGGAGACTATGAGGTGCAACATCCTAAACCATTCTCAGCTGGAGGGACGTCTTGGGACATCCTGGAGAGGATGCTGTCAGAAGCAGATAGCCAGGGACTGCGAGTCCCCACTCTCCAGCCCTAAGGCTTGAGAGTGAACGACCTGACCTATGCCAAGACCTCCTTACTCCTGTCTCTAATATAGGGACGCTGCGGTATGCCCTGCCAATAACCCAGGAAGGGATAGGACCCCGGGGCCAGGGGTGGCCTTGGTCACGGACCAGGGAGCTGACAGCAACCCGCCAGTAGCAGGGTGCGGAGCACCCGTGGAGAGAGCGCAGATCGAGTCCATCACCTCGGGCCCCGCACTTTCCCCTCACCTCGGAGGTCGAGACCGAGACTTGAGGGACCCTAGCAGTAGCTGCGGGGAGGAGGCAGATGGGATCGCCGGAGCCCGGGACTGGGGCCACAGAGCCTGCGGGAGGCTGGTGCGCCCCGAGTGCGCCGCTTCCCAGGGCCGGGACGAGGGGCGCCTACCTTGCCGTACTTCTTCAGCTTCTGTCGGTACCTCTTCTTGGGCTTCTCAGGCGACGCCGCCTCCTCCAGCGGCTCGTAGCGCTCGGGCAGCACCGCCAAGTGCACCCGCCGTGCGGTCCGGCCCCCCGCGCGCCGCGTCCCCGGCGCCCCCTCGGCCGCGGGGTCCGCGCACTCGGGGTGTTCGAGGATGGCGGCCGTGTCCTCGTCCCCCTGCAATCGGGCTCGGCCCCGGGGTCCGCGGCGCGGGAAGCTGCTAGCCGCCTTGCTCCGGAGCCGCGCGCCCACCGTCATGATGCTGCGGGCGCTGGGGTGAAGGTGGGGCGACGCTCGCGGGTTTCTACCTTTGCTCCCCGCCCGCGCCTCCCTCCGCCCCGCCCGGCCCCGACGGGTCGGTGGCCCTGGGGTGGCAGCGCCCCCTGCCCGCGGGGCCCGGCAGCGCGGCAGCTCCAAAGCACGTGGCTCCTCTTTACCTCAGGCCAGGGAGAGCACTCAATGCCAGGAACCCAGCCAGCACGTTCCAGCCAACTTGCAAGGATATAAGTGAACCCCACTTCTTTTACAAACAATATATCTGGCCTTCTAGTCAAAGACTTCAACTATGTAATTTTTATACAGCAAATTAAGCTTAGTTTTCTATTCCTTTTAAGTCTCAATCATTTACTTGATCTAATTTTCAATTTGCCTGAAGCTTGGAAAGCCAAATCGATTGTTTGTAAAGCAATGAGCTTAAAAGGTTTAGAGAAGTGAGGCTTGTGGATTTGTGACTTTGCTAAAGGAACTATGTGTTGATTTATAAGCAAACATAATACAGTCCTTTTTCTGTTAGGACTTCGAAAATATTCCCACCCCCACCCCACTACATAACCAGTGTAGACATCGGTGGACTGTCCAGTGTATCTGAAGTGTTTTATCCACACAAAATTCTATTCAAGTATCCCCACGACCTGTAGCTTGCTGCTGGAGCAACTGAAAGTTGATCCCTATTGACAACCAGCAACCATCAAGGCTCAAGGAGAGTGATCAAAGGCCATCTTCATAGACTCTAGAAGTTATACAGTGTGGGAAGTGTTTTCCCGCCCCAGCTAAAAACCTAGGTAGGTGTGATCACAGTGGTAATTCTGATTACACAGTGGTAATAAACGTCCCCAAGTGCGCTCTTTCTAAGTGTCTAATTTCATGTAATACTCAGAGCTTTGAATGTCAGAGTTCATCCTCTCTCCTCCCTCAGACAGCCTCTGCTGTGTGTGTGTGTAAGGGGAGAAGTAAGGAAAGCGAGTTTCTTTTCTGTCTCCCCCAGCTAATGTGTCTCAGCTCCCCAAGCCTACAGACTGATATCTACCCTGGAGTTGTCTCACCCTCTGGGCCTGGCAGGCGTTTGAAGCTGGCATCTCCCTTCTCCTTTAGGAGCACCCGTACCCCAGTCCACACTGGTAATGTTCTAGTCTACCCAGCAAATGTCTCCCCCATCCCCCTTACCTATATCCCCTTTAATCCCCAGTGTCCTCTCTGGCTTTTCTATCCTGACTTTTGCGTTCTTCTGTGTGATCACATGAGATTGGATTTAGTCTAGAGAATTCAGTTCTTCCAAATGACCAGAGGGCTGGACAAGCAAGCTCTGTGTGGGGTCATCTCCACCATAACGTGAGGTGTACCTCAGTATAAGCCCACTTGTTAAATTCCCTATGACACCCAAGGGGTCTGTAAATATATTTCATCTTCCAGCTCGGCACATAGGAAGGAGGGAAGGAAGGAGGTTGAGGGCTAACCCAACAGGAATCTCTCCCTCCCAATAGGGACCTGCCCTGAAAGGACTAAGGACATTAGAAATCTAAGATTCATGAATCATCAGTTACTGAGTTTAAAAACTGCTTTGTAATCTCTGAGTCTTAAAAATAATTGCTTATTTAGAATGATGTAGTAACAGTTAAAGACACTTCATTGATAACAAATTTTCCACTTGTAGATAAAGAAAGACTTTATGTTTTAATTGTTTGTTTTGTAATAAATGTGTTAACTGGAAAGAATGAAGAGCAGAATCTATATGGATCTGAAGTTATGAATTATAGTTATATAAAATTATTTTTATAGGATAGGCATAGACTCAAGAAGAAATACATCTTTCTTCTGATATATTTAGCTACCTATATATACATATACATATATGTGTATATATATATATATCTGAGCTGATAAGAAGTGGTTATAAATGATAAAATGGAGAATAAACATATAAATATTACATAATTTTTCAAAAACTACAACTTACAGGGGAAGCATCTCTTTAGTCCCAAGTAAGTCTGTCTTTCAACACCTCCCTCCTCTTCCCCTCAAAGGATGGCCAATCCCCACCTTTTCTTAGATTTAGGTTAAGAATTTTATGTTTATAAGGTTATTTGTGATTTGGGATCTTCCACTAAATATCTTATAAAAGTTGATAAATGACATATTAGAAAGAAGAAATTTAACATTTGCACTTAAGGTGTTTACAATATTTTCTTTAAAAAAAGGTGTTCATAACTGTGCAGATATCACTGAAAGCAAAGTTGGGAATTTCAAGCATAGCATATTTTTCTTTCACTTCAGGGTAAGGTTTCTGATAAAGAGCAAAGTCTTGAGGTAGGTGCCTGTTGCAACTAAAATTTGTTACAATCACTATGTCTACAAGGGTCTTCCATCAATTGTTTTTCCTGAAATCTGAAAGATTTTTGAAACTTCCCAGGAGCCTAGGCAGGGACAGGGCCCATGTTTCAGACACTCAGGTTGACCTAAGCTTTAAACTCTGGGCACCATGCCAGAGACACCAAACCTTTGATCCTGTCTTACCTGCTCAGGGAGAGATTTGGAGCAACTTTTGGTTCGACCTTTGGCTGGAACTCCTGCAGTCTGGCATCCATCACTGTGGAATGTTCCAGAAAGCTTGCATGCTCTCTGCTTTCTTTCTTTTTTTAAAGATTTATTTATTTATGCCTATTTACTTACATCTTTGCTGCCTACAGAACTAGGGTACAGTACAGACCAGAGATGCAGGGTAGGGGGTGGGTGGGGAATAAGAGGATTTACCAAAGACAGAGTGGGGAGCAGAACAGGCAGATTACCTGAAATACACTGCTGAGGGCAGCAGTGGGAGATTGAGGAGAGGTCTGCCATGAAATGTGTGTCAGCTTCCTGCCCAGGGATCAAACTTGTGCTGCAGTGGCTGTGATAGCTTCATAGTGCTGTGCCACCCGTTGTGCCACCAGGGAGGGCCCACACATGCTCTCTGCTATCTGTTCCTCCTCCTGTCTGACTTTTTCAGCAGTTTTGAATTTCTGGTAGTAGCCCCTTGTCTCTGTGTGGTGCCCCCGCTCCCCTTCTGCATTGGTGTCTCCCTGCTTCAGCCAGTCTGGGACTTAGCTCAAAGATATACCTTCTAGGCACATTCTGGTTGTATATCATTTGCTCTCTATGTCTATAAAAGCAAGTCTCAGAGAAAATTAATTTATTTTTTAAATAAAAAAACATATCATTATTTTACATCTTTGCTGATCTTTTCACAATAAAGACTTTCTCCCTTCAGGTGTGGTTACGGTGGTTTCCCTACACCAAAACACCATAGTCCTTTAGCATAGTCCATAGTGCTCTCCCCCAACTTTTTCCCCACCCCTTCTACTACCCCATTCCCCTCCTCTCCCATATATCTCAGATCTAAGGTCAGCTGTCAAGGGCAGGTTTTAAAATTTATCTTTCTCTGATCATTTGCTTGTTTTCTCTATTCTACCTATAAGTGAAACCATCTGATGTTTATCTTTCTCCTTCTGGCTCACATCACTTAGGATAATCTTCTAGTTTAATCCATGCTGCTGCAAGAGGCACAACTTTATCTTTTTGATAGCTGCATAATATTCCATTGTACACATATACCTTATCTTCTTGATTGACTAGAGCATTTAGGTTGTTTCCATAGTGGAACTATTTAAATAGAGTTGAAAAAAAGCATAGGAGGTTAGGTTCCTTTTGAAGTAGTTTTTTGTACTTTATGGATAGTGATACCTAGGAGTGGAATTGCTAGATCATATAGTAGGTCCATTTTCAGTCTTTTGAGTAATCTCCACACTTGTTTCCATAGTGGCTGGACTAATTTACCTTCCCAGTGCAGGAGGGGTTTTCTTTTTCTCCACACCCTTGCTAGCACTTGTTTTGTTTTGACATGGGCTATCCTCACTGGTATGGGAGAAAAAGTTTTTACTTTTTACTTTTATGTTGTAGGGTGTGGGAGTAATTTTAACATCTGAATTTGATAAAAGAGTAAGATAACAACTGCTATTATATTTTAAAGAAATGGGAAGGTGGAAAACTGTCTTGGCAGATATAGTGAAACTAAATAAATTAGTATTTAGTTATAACTTCAATAAAAATTTGTAAAAAGTTATCATTCACACCTGTACATTGATATGACTATACTTAGCACACAACATACTGATTAGAAGTGGTTATATATGTCAGAGAAAAGAAACACTTAAAGGGTTCTCTGAGGGGTCCTCACTGGTGGTGCAACAGATTAAAGTGCAGCACTCTGAAGCTATCCACAGCCACTTCAGCATGAGTTCCATTCCCTGCCATGGAGGTGACCCACATGGCACAGCAGACCTTTCCTGTCTCTCCCAACAGAGCACTTCCCAACAGTGCTCCCCTCAACAGTGTACTTTACTCAGTCTGCTTATTCTGTTCCCCAGTCTGTCTTTGGTGAATCCTCTCAACCCCACTTCCTACTTCCACCCAACCCACCTCTGGCCTTCCCCAGTTCTTGTATGCATAAATAAATAAATAAATCTTAACAAAAAGAAAAGAAACACTTGAAACTGGTGGGAAGGGAGGAAGAAGATCCTTAAATTTTTCATATTTAGGTAGGATTTCATTTGATGGAAATTCAACTGGAGAAGCTCTAGATTCCAAATGTGTTGAGAACTGTGGACTAGTAGACATAAACAAGGTTTCCCCAGCATGCATATTTATTAATCCTGCATATAAAATTTTGTAATAAGTCTTTGGACATGAGCCAGTAAATAAGTTATTTCAATACTTTAAAGATCAAACTGTGGCATTTCTTTCTTTCTTTTTTAAAATTCTATTTTCTGCCCTGTGGTAGGCACTCAGTGCCATAAAGGGAAGCATTAGACATTGTTTTGTAAAGGATTTTAAATGCAAAGTCTAACGAAGGAGCATTTCATTCTGATCCTTTATTAGGGAAATGTTTCACATGGCTGACTGACAATGAACAAAAATCAAAAATCGAGGCAGACTTCTCTTAAAAAGTCA